AGATGACGGAGACGAAGCATGAAAAAATGCACAGAGTGATTATGTAGAGTAGGTATCTCTCGTCTTCCGGGTTGGGGTCCAAAAGACTCCGAAACCGCATGGTTGGAGACACTGAAGGTCATGGCTGCAAACGACCAGCAATGGCGATCATGTTGTCACTTCTTATCAGACCAGAATGTTCGAAATAGTATATATGCACAGTTGAACTGTTTACTCTGTGTGTTGACCGTAGGGGTTAGCTTTCTTTTCCCTTCCCTAAAAATAGATCCAATCACTGTCCTTCTTACACACTATCACTTACCTTGTATGCAATACGAGTTTGACAGCGATCAGTGAAGTTTGCTTCGCTGTTTTACGCTGTACAATGATGATGATGATGATGATTAGACTCCAGCAAGGCTTTTGACTTGGCAAGTCTCATAGTGATTGATAAAAAAGACTACCAACCTTGGATTTAGTTAGGTCAGCGCGACAGTGGTTGAAGCATTTTCTCAGCAACCGTAGCTTCATTGTATAGGTTGTGAGCTACACATCAAGATCAGGGAAGGTTACAAGTGAGGTACCCCAAGCCTCGGTTCTTTGGCCCCTTCTCTTCCTTTCCATCAACGACCTCGGGCTAGAATTGCACAATCCCTGCTTCATCCTTGCGGTTAATGTGAAGCTAACGGGCTGGCTACTTTACCATTTGCCATCTCCGATGTTCTAACACTCACGTGTGGTTCTGTTGGATAGAATATACGCAAAACGTTCTTCATTTTTGCTTTAATACTTGTCAATTTCTTTTCATATTCAAACTTAGTTTCCCACTGCTTCGGCCGTACCTTATTTCCAACCAACTTATACTTGATCCAAGAGCTATGCGTTCTATGAAAAAGCCGGTTGCCTTCTGCGAGACGTGAGCGCTCTTTCTGTTCTAGACAACCACCGTGGAGGTCTGTAGCTAGATCTATGAGAAACCAAAAGAACGAACTCCTGGGTTAATTTTTATAACCCGTTTCGTATCACCCATATTTCTTCGACTGATGGCCCAAGCACTTCAGTGAACCAACCTATGTTCTCAGCAGTTCCCGTTAGTTGATCCTGGAGTAGTTTCTAACTAACCTAACCTTTGGATTGTTGCGTCTCGCAACAGACGTTAGCGATAGTACGCCGTGAACACTGTCCTAATGGTTCCTCCGTCAGCAGAGGGAAAAGATCTCGGTACCTAGTTAACTAAATCTAACTTTGAAGGACGATGTCCGCCTCTGAATCGTGCAGATTTCTTGACGTGCTACACCAGTCCATGTTGATGCAATCAGGTCAAGAGTTCTTCCCCAACGATGCCCTTCGGGGCGCTTTTGTTGTTCCAGTCTTTTTATGGACGATTGAAATCACCCATTATGAGGAATCTCAGCGATTCTTTCATTATGTTCCCATTACCATTGTCGTTGATTAGGAATCCTCCAACCTGTTAGTTTGCTGCCGACGAGATCCACACACTCTTCCGCAAACGTAACACATCGTGAACACACCCATTCAAAAGTTTCATGCTTCGTGCGGAGCTGTTAGTCCTGCTTTGATAAAGCGGAACATTGCTGATGGTACCAATTCTTGCTCCAATCGCATTGTATACCAGAAATCACCTCTTTATCACAGCCCTTCATATCGCGCGTGTTAGGATCGTACCGGGAAGCCATGTTGCTTATGTTCTCTTCGCAGCTGTGAATGAGTATTCGCAAGATGAAAATAAAAGTTTCACTAGGAAATAAACCCTGACACTAATCAGCGAAAAACTGCTAAGCAGGTAGTACCACACTAAAGAGATACGCGAAAATGGACAAAACATTCTAGGATAAAAGCATGCTTGTCGGAGAGAAAAACTCTCATATTTAAAGGAAAACGAACCTTACTAAATACTATAGTTCGCTTAATTTGTGAAATAACCAAGGTTATTTCACTTCTCAACGCAAATCAATCGCATCATCATTGGAACAAATTCACTGAGATTTTTAGATGATGCACACGTTCTAATCACTCCAATATTTAACGTATTTTATGTGGTGACAACTTTTATGAAAGCATCACCAACATTCAACTTAAAATAAAGTTGGGGGAGATGACTGTCACCCAGGTACACTGGTAAATGTACATAAAAATTGTACCTTTCAAATAAGCAGCACAAATAAATCACGCACAGATTATAAAACCGACGCGACGCTCGGTTGGTCTAGACAAATTCCAACCCGTGTAAACTGAGCTGAGCTCACAGAGGTCCTGTTTCCTAGTACTTCAGGTCCGCTTTCAGCTTACGGGCATAAAGAAGACCCGCCATAGACCAGGTGATTACGGGGCCTAACCACTCCCACCACTAGCCCTTAACAGCTCCACTTCAGTCTAACCAAGAAATTACCACCAAGCGGTGAGATTGGGACCAAGAGATCAATTAAGGAAAACAACTCCCGTCCTCCGCCTGTGTCGGAGGATAACTCTCTGAAAAACGACCTACGACAAGGCAGGTTAGGACCCACAGACATATCTTATTTGGAGACCCAAGCTGAAAAGGCACGGCGGTCACCCTATCATAACGCAATCAAAGACCCTTAGCATTCACTATACTAAAGCCTAATGAATGAATGGGCCGATCTCCGGGCGATGGCTGAAAAGATGCATTTTCTTGTCATCACGGAAACTTGGCTGAAATCCAAATTTTGTATATTTGACGTCTGTCGACCGGGGTTCCATGCCTATCGCTGTGATCGCCCTGGGCGTAGACTGGAGGTGATGTGCTACTGCTGGTGACGGATCACTTTTCTCAGACGGCGTTAGATACCTAGGGTATGGAGAAAATCTAGGTTGAGACATCAAACCTCACAGAGTAAGGCTAGAGGTCTTGTGTGTTTATCGCAGACCGAGCTCTGATAGCGGCTAAGATGCGCTACTTTTAGAGTTCCTCCTACACAGCACCGAATTTCAGTAGGGTCCTTGTCCTGGGTAATTTCAATACACCTGAGGTTGACTGGGTGATATAGTACGCTATCGTTGGTATATTATCTTGGGAGATTATCTTTTGGAGATGGTACGTGAATTATCGCCTACCTGACACACCATGAATTTCACCAAATGGTGATTGGACAACTATCCCACCACCTTAGATCTCGTGTCCACTAAAAGCAAGGACATTGGAAACACTGCTATAGGAGCACCGCTAGGCCGAAGTGGCCATGCTAGTATTCGGTGTAAAAACGGATATACCGTACTTCCCTCAGGTACAACTGCGTCGTCGTTACTGATACGTGAGCACCCCTGGATTCCCTCTTGTTTAGCAGAGCTGAATGCTACCAGGCGCATCCCGGAGGGGCGGTACCTTCACAGAAGGAGGTTGGATGTGAATAAGTTTTGGCATGCCGCAACAAATATGCAGTCGCGAGTAAACAGCGGCCGCACTACCAGGGTGTGGTGGGCTTTAGGCTGGTCACCTGGCTCAGGGATCAGTACTTCGTGAACCTCTGTCCCGGGCACGTTTATTAATATGCTGTTGCTGGTTGCCCGTTCGTTTTTGCTGCGTACTTGAATTTGGCAGGCGAGGATTAAGCAAGAGCTATGAATGGTCAGGTTCAAGTTTTGAAGAGTAGATCTCTTGAAAGGAATGTGTTCGTCTGTGTTAATAAATTTGTTTGCTTCGTTCTAATGGGAGTTGTTCGGGTCATTAGCTTTGGGGTGGGTCTTAGAGCATCAGTTTCCTCTCCATTAGGAAAACGAATAAAAATTTACTGATATTTGCAGCCTAAGAGTTCTACGTCTTCCACCAAAGGGTTATATTCCGGTCACCGTACCATCATTTTTGGCCAAACAGGACCCAGATTTGATAGCTACAGCGAAACACCTGAGGTTGAACTTAGACAGTATTTTGTGTGGTGTCTCTTGGATGGCGGGGCGCAGCAGATAACTGACAATGCACAGTATTCAGAACTACTCTCCCACTTGGAACTGTCTAACTGCTTTTATCTCAGCAATAATGTGATGGCTTTCCACAGAGTTCCATTCAATCGTTTCACCTGTTCTTTTTCTTACGGATTACATGGGGTCGTTTGGCTGGTGGCCATTCCTTTGTCGTGAAGAAAGCTTTGCAATTCCTTGAAGGAAACCGCGATCAGAATGAACGTATGATGGCAACCCAAACAATTGATGAAAACATTTAATTATATTAGAAAAAGATACATCCCCGCAAGTAAGAGCAATGGGAAAACGTAAATGTTCTTTTATCGTGGTACAAAAACATTCGTTACGGTATATAGATAACAAATATGCTTTCGCCTTCGATGACGCAAAAAGTATCATCTAGATGCTGGGTGCGAAGTCTCTCACAAATCTATCAAACTCGACCGGGATCGTCTACGTACCGTGCTTGATCTGCTTTCCCCTCATAACTAAAATCCCACGCAATCAGTTATTCAGCTATTTAACCCACTAATTAACAACCACATTTCCGTCACCAAGTGGCGTTCTAGCTGCGTATGACCTGAATAGTAGGCTATCTCGAGCGGTGATTACTATTGTCAATATTCTTGACCATTAGTGCCAGAAATCGATACCTCAGGTGTAGCGATAGTCGCTCTACTATCGCAGAATGGGAGACCAGTTGCGTTTTTCTACGGAACACTGACACCTTCCGGACAACGATACTTCCGTCGAGAAAGATCTGTGCTATCGTCGAGGCAGTCCGAAAGTAACGGCATTGTTTGATTGACTCACATGCTCTCATAATCACTGACTGGAGGTCAGTTGCATTTATGTATGACAAGTAGCAGCCAAAGAAAGCAGCTGGTGACACTCCCCAATTCACTTCACACTCGCTTTGAGTATATATATATATATATGCCAGCTGTGTTGGTGGTAGAAGTAGATCTCAACTTGCTTGCCCTCAGCGGTTCAAGATGTTAACTTTTACATTGGTTATCAATGTTAATCCCTTCATTTAATTACGAAAGTTCCATCCTTCATTTCCACAGGTGCGATCGATCATGCCGGTGAATGCATTGTCTTCTAGTTTGTCCAAAACATTGTCAATACACCCCGTGGAGGATGGTAAATAATCCATATATTTGTTAAGCCCACCCATTATACAGAGACCGAATGCACTTCCTCTGGCCCAAATAAACCCAGCCGTGCAGCTCGCCGCCGAGAGAAACGAGCAGCAGAACGCCGTGCGCAAGAAAGGGCAGCTGCTAAGGTTTCCGATCCGTCAGCTTCGGCAACAAGTATCAGATCATTAGAGTTGCGCAAAATTGAACAGCAGTTGACCAGTCGACGATTGCGCCTTTACGAAGTAAGTATTCATCTTGCACGGTATACCTACTCCCATTGATACTTTCTATGATAACGTGCTACACAAAGTCATATTTTACACCTGCCTGTGTCCATACAGTGTATTAGATAAAAACATAGTATACCAAACTTTTTAATCGTGGAAAGACTAAACCTCGTAGTCAATTTAAACAAAGTAACCAGAAATGTAATCTCGGGACATTCGGTGGAAAACCCAAAACATCCTCAGTTTTAGTATGATATTGTGCGAGAGGGTAGTGGAGTTGTCTACACGAGTTTGCAGGATGTGCGTAATATGCGGTTTAAATAAATGAAAACATATCATGGCTGTGCTGACAGGGTGCCAACCCACATACGGTGTAACCATCTAGTCTGATGAACTCACGATTCGTTTAAGCGCATCATATTTTTTCCTTTGTATCTTTATACACGCAAGCTACTGTCTGGCTTCTATCTATTATTCTTTAACTTGCAATGCTCTTCCAACAGCCGGATTCAGGGATTTCTGAACTAAAACATGCAATTAGTTGCACATTGATCTTGTATCAATCTGCCCTTTTATACTTACGTTTTGTTTTTGTCTCTATACTGCGGCGATTGAAGACAACATACCTTCCATAGGCAAAGTGCTCAAGCGTCGCTCCACCTGCAGCGAAGACAATGTGAATCTTGACTTGAATTGAAATATTATATGTGTTACATTGATGTTTTCGATTTATGACAAATGTGCAATCAATATTCACGGCAAGATCTGTAACCCATCAAATGTTGCCTTGTAAAATCAAACGATTAGCTGCCCTCCAAATTTGTATTATGAAACGAACAAAAAAACATCACTACTCTTGTTTCCTTACTCCACTGCAATTGTTTGCGTTCCATGTTGTTTATATATATATTATGCACTCAGTTACTGGAGCAACATGTTGCACTATTCCACATCATTGTATGTCACTTTTCCCAAAAGTTGGACCCGTTACACGGACTTGATATTCAAACGCTTGGACCCTTCTGATCTTCTAGGAGATTACTTTAATCCCTTTTTAGCAGAACCTTTACTGTAGAATTAATTTTCTCCTTTATCGACATTTTAAAAGGTACCTTCGGACGGCGATTGCCTCTACTTATCTGTGGCACACCAAATGCGGTTGCGAAACATTCCTCTAGATCCTCCGTCCGATCTCACACAAAGTGAAACGGATTCTAAAGTGATACAACAAGACCAGGCACAATCCAAAACAGATGTAACCCGACTGCGCCAACTGACCGCGCAACATTTACGAGAGAACATAGATGAATTCCTTCCGTTCCTTTTCCATCCGGATACTGGAGACCCAATGACCAAAGGTGAGCTTTATGATATTTAATATCCAGGTAAACTGCGTTCAAATCTGCTACTCAGCCACAGATAAACGCAGCCCTTTAGGAAGATATATATACCAGAGTAGGATCAACTTATAGTCGTTGGCGAATGGAGCAGCCGAAATCGTGTTTTCAAGAAACTAGTAATGAAGAAGTAATGTAGATCGTTTCAAAGGTGAATTCGTCGTATATATAGCAAATGAAGCGTGAACTGAAACTCACTTGAAAGTAGATTGTGCTAACTGTGGTTAAAAAGCTAACTGTGATTCATTTTTATCACCTTCACTCTCATTCATTGAACTATGAGTTTTCGACAAAGGAAATTCGGCTGTGAAGAGATGCGACAACGAAGGGAATACCGGAGGGTCGTTGCTATTGGCAACATCATATCCGGAAATCGCATTGAAAAATCCCATTTCTGGTAAACAGGCGAAATACGAGGGATTCTTCTCCATATCCGAGTACCGTTGCTAAGCATCTTTTCAATTCTGTCTATCGATGCAAGCATTTGGTTCAGGAGAAACTGAAATCCGAGAAAACTTCGACCTCAATGAAATGTACCCACTAGATTATTGAGGGCCTAGACTGAACCCTTTCAGGCCAGTACGTCGTTTCAACATTCAGGACTGAGTATGGCTTTTGCGAAATCAAACTTTTAAACGTCCAGTTTCAAATTTCCAATCGCCGACCTCCCAGAATCAGAAGTCGACAAAGATAGCGCGAAGGTTGTATTCGGTGCCGTACAACTGCGGTACACTTCAGGGAAGACGAACTTATTATTCCTATATGAATTAAACTTAGGAGTTCTACACCTTTTCCCATCAATCTTTAACCAAAACCCTTTATGCTTTAGCCACGAACCACAATTCTTAAGCCTTAACCCACAATCCTTTAGCTGAAACCTGCATCCTTTAGCAACGACTCATAAATCCTTTGGTCTCGACAACAAAATTTTGTTATGCTGTTGTAGGTGAGTCAAACCAAAAGGTATCGGAACATTCAGTGATAGCAATGAAGCCAAATGGTGCTAAATGGTTTGACGATATGGGCACATCTTTGAAACCTTCTCCAATCAAAATGTGATGCAGCATGCAATCGCCACAGCGCATTTCCTCCCCAAACTTTGCAAAGTCAACGTTCAAAGAAAACAAAATAGTTCAACATTTGTTGACCTCAGAATATCCGGATGCATTTTGATCTGACTCCCATACAGTGGCACAAATAAAGTTTTTGCGTCAAGGCTAAAGGACAACGGGTTGTTGATAAAGCATTGCGGGTTTTGGCTAAAGCTTGATGGGAAAATATGTAGAAAATATGTACGATAACCGACATTAGAACGTTCCAGAAATGGGGTGACCAATAAGAATGAGCAAATTGTGGACCCTCGTAACTGCTCATGCATTCCACGAATTCTGTGGAATCTTCGGGTTATCTAGGGCTATGGCTTGTCCCCATTCTATTGCATCTCAGGAAATGCTCCCGTACAACCGAGCGTCTCAAATAGCTTCTGCTGAGCAAGCCCTACTCACAACCTTCCTCCTAGATGAGGTGTTTTCTCATCAAAGTGAGATGAAGAATATCCGGGTCGAGGAACAACTGGCAGTTCATCTGGAGGAGTTGGCTAAAAGCCCTAATTCCAAACCAGCCAAGAAGAGACGTACGAATCACACACACACACATCTTCCTGGTTGTGGCAGTAGTCATCGGCTCGATTGGGCAAGGAAATGTATTGGGTACCTGGGAAATTTGACCCCGTCGAAAGGAAGTATGATCCGATGGAATGGACACCGGCCTCCAATTGTGGTTTTTGCACACCGCCCCGTTGCCTTACAGGTTAGGCTTTGGCTAGTCAAAGGCTCCGGTTGTCAATTCCCCAAGAAAATTCACCTATCTTGGCAACTTGGCAGTATTTCGTTCACAAATAAATTATGGAACTTTCTTTTTTATAAAGAATGTTGTACCATTAATTGTTTGGTACACAATCTGGACCCAGACTTGTGTGAAATACACAGAGATCACTGTTTAAAATCTTAGACGATCAACCGAGCAAAGTCGAAGTAATTTATCGCGAGCATTTGTTTATAGAGGGGGAAATCGTTTTAAAAAGTTTTTGATGCCTCATCCAGTCTCTTCGATTCTACTTTCAGCCATCTTGTTTTCCTCCTATGGTTCACCCAAATGGGCAACCAAAAGCGTCGCATCAAAATGCATGCCTAATGGTTGTTTAAACTGAAACTAAAACTGTAATACAGGTTTCGGTTTCATCGAGTCAGTCCATCAGGCTACTAACGGAACTAACTCACCATGGGAACTGCAATTTTCAGTAGCCTTGTTTATTATGTATGCATTTCACATGCGTCTGATTACGGAAATTTTTATCAACCAGATCACGATACAATAATCTTTATACCAAAGATAAAAGTTCATGTTTTGTTGGCTGGCAAAATACGGTCCCTCCAAACCGAGCTAGTATAGGTTTCTCGCAAACTGTGTTAACCTACTCATTAGTAGTTAGCATATAAGAAGGGAAATCGCGATACTTGAGAATACATGGTTT